CAGAGATGAAGAATTACCTGGTATAATTGGAGACTAATTCATGAAAACAGGTTTACACTGAATTTTGATACTTAACTCCATTTTTGAGTAGAGATAAACAAAATGAATTCTAAACCAACAAACAACCAACACCCCAGAACAACAGCAAACAGTACAAAGCAAGACATGCAGCTGAGAAGAGGCTACAGTAACAAAGACAAGAAGGCACATCTCAGGCCCCACACTGAGCTCAGGATGAGCCCTTGCTTACAGAAGAGGCTGTGCCTAGAGGTGCTGGATCCCCTCTCCCACACAGCTTCTGGCTTCCTGCCTGCAAATGCATCTTGCAGAAAGTCAGCCTCCCTCAGAGGTAGTGGCAGCTGGCCCTGAGTTGGATTCAAATGGGGGCAAGTGGTCAGAGGATGCAACCACAGCACAGAGGGCAGGAAAGAGTGCAGTTATCTCCTGACTTTCCATGATGGACTAAACCTGTAAGTGATGCAGATGAGCATGCACTGACCCAAGTGTGGAGAGCAAGCAAAACACAATCAAAAGAAACAGGAGAAATTCCTTCCATTTCAGTCACCCATCAAGGTTCAGGAGGCACAGGGAAAGGACAGGGCTCTTAGCAAAAGCGACCTCAGCAACAGCAGTCCACAGGCAGCTGCTCCTGTAACACCCCAGTAAGAGCTTCCACGTAGGCACTGCCCTGCTAGAGGTCGGGAGTTTTAGGTGTACTAGGAGCTGGTGAAGCCCAGTGTTCTTCTAGATTGTCCTTGGAAACAGTGTCTCATTTCCTGCACCACTTCTGTGCCTGTGACTCAGAGGTCCCCTGGCCGGGCTGGGGAAACACAGGGTGCTGCTGCACAGGGAGAGAAGTGGCTCAATGCAGCCAGGGAATGGTGTGATCACACCTGTCCTGTGTCCTGCTGCTGTTCCTCCCTAGGTCCCCCTGTCTCGGTGAGGTGGGATCTTGCCCAGGTCTTCAGGTAACTGGGCAAAGTTTTCATGGTGAGCCTCGGCATGGTGTTGCCAGGGTGTCGCGTAAGTGGTCACATCGGTGGGTTTACTCCTGGACCCTCCCTGCACACCTCTCAACGAAGTTCCACAGACCCCCTCTGCCAGCTACAAGCCTGCTTCCACATGTGGAGGGGCTCCATGGTCAACTCAGAACACAGCCGAGGCTCTGCACCTCTTCTGTACAATCAAATCCCTTCTAAACATGTGCTTTCATTCCTCCTCCAGTTTGCCTGTGTGCACTGCACACTGGGAGTGGGCCCAGCTGGGCCTCAGGGCCTTAAGGAGCTCAACATGCCAGGCCTTTGCTGTGTCATCATTCAGGCAAGGGAGAGTACTGCTGTGTATGTCACAGGCCAGGAAAATGACACTCAAGGAGAGGGCCTCTGCAAGAATGCAGTATGCTGCTTGCCCAGTGCAGAGCCAGTCCTGTGCCAGGTGGACAGGGCCCTGCCGGTCAGCACTCAAGAGTCCCCATCACCTGGGGACTTCCTCAGTCCCTTCCTTCAGCAGGTGTGGTGAGTCCTCCCCACAGACCAGGGGCTGTGCCAGGGGTTCTGGGCTGCTGCTGGAGAGAGCCTCTGGGAGCACGGCACAGTGTGAGGACTTAGCTCCACTAGATGTGCATTTAAATAGAGGGACAGTCCTATTATAAATAGAGGGACAGTCCATAAAATTTTATTAATGTTTAACAGAAAATAACTACATGTTGGGAGCCGGCCATGTTATTCATGAGAGCATATTCATAAGATGGCACCCGCCTACCGCCTCGCTGCTCCCCCGCCCATCGTGTGCCCAAGATGGCACACACATCCTGCTTCCTGGTTCTTGCTCGCCTTACTGTCCCCGCCATATATGGTAATGATTGATTGCTTCCTTGTTGCCGCCCAATCGCCTGTCCCCACGTGTAATCCCATGATTGGATAACATTAGCTATATAAGCCCAAGTATAGGAAGTGCCCGATGCACAACACGGAAGAAGCCGTCGAGGATGGACATGTATTGAGGTTGCTGCCCAGTCAATAAAGGCACAACACGGAAGAAGCCGTCGAGGATGGACATGTATTGAGGTTGCTGCCCAGTCAATAAAGGCACAACACGGAAGAAGCCGTCACGGACGGACGTGTATTGAGGTTGTTGCCCAGTCAATAAAGGTGCTTGCAGAGGCTAAGTGTTCGTGTGCTACATTCCGCGGGACGGAAGCGGCGCCGGACAGCTGGTGGCCCGTACGAGGACTCGAAACCTCTCCCGTGCCTTCTGCGGCTCCTTGTGACTGCGTTGAGAGACGGTACGTACCTGCGGGTGAGCGGAGGCTCAACCCGGCCCTTGGTGGACGCACTTTAAGGGACCTACTGGTCGACCCCTTGAGGGGATCGACATTGCCCGAAAAAGAAGGGCAGGCCTCTGCTGGCTATAGCGCCTTGGGGCTTTCTATATTTGCTGAAATGGGCCATGTTAATTGTGGCCCCCTCGCCCTATCATTGCGGATGTTGCTTGGGGCACGAGGGATTAGGATAGATAAGCAAACAGTGCTGCAGTTTTAAAGGGCTGATGGAGAGCTTAGAGGAAGAGCTCGAGAGAGTGGAGAATGATATACAGGAAGTACATACCCCAGGCGGGACGAGACCAACCCCGTCTGCCCCTCCCTGGGCGCCACCCCAGGAAATGAGCGCACCTGGAGGCTGGGGGCCGCCCCCTCCCTTCCCTGCCACACTTCCGTCCTCCGGACGCCGCTCGTTTCATGGTCGCTTGTGGGACGTCCTGCGTAGGGGCCTTGCCTCATATGCCGTTTTTGATAAGGAGGGCAATTCTCTGACTGGCCGTAAAGACTCACAGCCAAAAAAATGGCCAGAGGGGGCCCTCCTACAAGGCGGGCCCCCTTTCCCCCAGCAGCCCCTTTCCGGGAGTAAACAGCTAGTCAGGGCTACCCCAGGGTCAGCAGGAACACCTGAAATGGGAGTCCAATTGATAGAAACTTCATTTAAGGGGCCATTGCCACCGAATACTGTTGGCCTGCTTTTAGGGCGCTCTTCAGTGGCCCTTCGTGGCCTTACAGTTGTGCCAGGTGTCATCGATTCTGATTATATGGGCAAGGTTAAGATTATGGCTCAGTCATTACAAGGAACACTGATTATAAACAAAGGGGATAGGATAGCCCAGTTACTTATTCTGCCCAGCTTGCATGGTCAATATCCAGCTAAGCAACAGTCTCGGGGTGCCCAGGGTTTCGGGTCCACGGGCAAAAATTTTATTGGCCTCCATATGACCTTGCAGGAACGGCCTATGTTGCTCCTCTCGGTCAATGGTAAGAAAATTAAAGGGTTATTAGATACCGGCGCTGACCGTTCCATCATCTCTCATAAAGATTGGCCGGCCTCCTGGCCCCTCAATGTGGCAGAACAGACCCTTCAGGGATTGGGATTTGTGCATTCACCCAGTATGAGTGCGCAGTCCCTTCCCTGGCAGGATGAGGAGGGACATGGTGGGTCTTTTCAACCCTATGTCCTTAACCTCCCAGTAACCCTTTGGGGCAGAGATATTCTAGTCCAAATGGACATCACCCTACATACGGGATGTTCTGAGGTGTCTCAAAACATGATGAAATGGATGGGCTATACCCCTGGCAAAGGCTTGGGCATCAAATTGCAAGGAAATACCTCTCCTGTGCCCGCCGTCACTAAAAGGCACAGGAAAGGACTGGGTTTTTCTTAGGGGCCGCTGTAATGCCTCTCGCGCCCACCCCTATAAAACTGACATGGAAATCGGATACCCCGGTTTGGGTGACGCAGTGGCCCCTACCAATAGAAAAGATCTTTGGATTCCCGTGCAAGCCCAGGGCTGGGTTGGATCGGTCTCACAGCAGATCTCGCTCTCTTCCTTACCAACCAGAACTAAAAGAGGGACAAAAGATTGGTTGTGGCAGGCAGCGGGGGTGGTCTCTTCTTTGTTTGTCCCTGCAGTGGGACAGGCTGTTTTGCAGGCATGGACCTCCAAGCAGCTCGCGCTGACCATGGATGCAGTCAATCGGCTGAGCAACGCCACACGAGAGACCATCAAGGCTCAAAGGCAACAGATTGAGCTTATCAGCCAGGCTATACTTCGGCTACAAGAAGAGATCCAGCTCATCGGACAGGAGATTGATGCGTTGTGGCAGGTCGCCACTCAACTCTGTGATCAGAGGTGGCTGCCTTTCCGGGTCTGCGTCACCCCTGTTCGCACCAACCTGACTGAAACTACAAAGACCATGACTAAATGGCTGCAGGACACTTATTTGCCAAAATTTCACAACATGTCCCTAATTGTTAACCAAGGACTGGATGAGATGGACAAAATTCAATTGCACCCGGTCAGATTTGACCTGTCCACCCTAGGGGATGTCCTCTCGGGTTTGTGGAATCATGTCACCTCTTGGTTCTCCTGGCCCAATTTGACTACCTGGATTTTTATTGCTGTTGCTATCCTGGTTGGATTAGTGGTTGTTAAATGCTTGCTTGATCGTTTGATGCAGACTCAACAACAAGTCAGATTTACAGCCATGGCGGCTATGCAGCAGGCGGAGGCTGGCCCATCTGGTGGTCGGGCGGCTACATATCTCCTTCATGTTGCAGAGCATCAGTTATAAGGATGCTGAATGGGCGAGCCGAAGACGGGTAAGATCAAGGTACCCCACCTTGCTCAACCTAAGACAGGCCCCGTTCCATTAAGACAGCGAGAGGTACCAAGGTGGGAGACCAAATGGTACTGCATGACATTCTACTCTTGGGGTTTTTGAAGAGAGATGTCAGGCTATATGTCTGTATGCATCTAGGTTTCATCCGAATTACCCTAGCCCTGCGCAAAAGGATGAGGCTTGGAGGTCCCTTCCGACGCGGGGGTGGCCAACCTGTGCCGGGGGATGACCTCAGAGCCATGCACAGCGGGGTACAGACCTCTGTAGTCACTTGGAAAGTCTCGCTGTCCTTCCTTGTAAATAAGAAAGGGGGAGATGTTGGGAGCCGGCCATGTTATTCATGAGAGCATATTCATAAGATGGCACCCGCCTACCGCCTCGCTGCTCCCCCGCCCATCGTGTGCCCAAGATGGCACACACATCCTGCTTCCTGGTTCTTGCTCGCCTTACTGTCCCCGCCATATATGGTAATGATTGATTGCTTCCTTGTTGCCGCCCAATCGCCTGTCCCCACGTGTAATCCCATGATTGGATAACATTAGCTATATAAGCCCAAGTATAGGAAGTGCCCGATGCACAACACGGAAGAAGCCGTCGAGGATGGACATGTATTGAGGTTGCTGCCCAGTCAATAAAGGCACAACACGGAAGAAGCCGTCACGGACGGACGTGTATTGAGGTTGTTGCCCAGTCAATAAAGGTGCTTGCAGAGGCTAAGTGTTCGTGTGCTACATTCCGCGGGATGGAAGCGGCGCCGGACAACTACAGATAAATGAAACCAGGAAAAAAAAAAAAAAAAAAAAAAAGGCAACATTTCCAAGGGAGGGAGGCAGACGTGCAATTGAAGTCCTGCAAGGTGAGGTTGTCTAAATTGTCCTGCATTCCGCTGATCAGCCACTAGAGGGGAGAGAGAGGGAGAGTCAGGTCAGGCTGGCCAGTTTCTGCGTGTCCAGCTCTGTTCACCCATCCACCCAGAGCTCCACTCCTGCTCCTTTCAATGGTTGCTGCTGTGGAAACAGTTGTGGCCCTAGAGGTGGCAGGAGAGCAACAGGACAGAAAATTCCTGGGAGACCGCCCTTCTTGGTGCCTTTCCCAAGGCACAGCAGCCCACTTCCTGCCAGAGAAGGCCCAGGCAATGACCCCACAGCAAGACCCGTCCCAACCCTTGTCCAGCCCCATCGGTGGTCCCATCCTCTTCCTTTGCTCCTGGCCAGCAGCAGCCTCTGGAAATTCCTCCTGGTGGCACCACCATGACTTTTGCTGCACTCCCACCACCACCCACAGTCACTAACCCCAGCCTCCTACTCACCTCTGGAAAGGGATCCCTCTTAGTGGACTCTAAATTGGGCCTAAAGTCTGCACACTTGCAGGATGATGTCTGAGTCTGGAAGGTTCAGGAGTGCATAGGCCACGAGCTGCTTGAGGTTGTCCATGTCTGGGTGCTGGTAAAAGTCTTCTGGGTACTGGAGAAGCCAGGTCTCCAGGATGGAGCTCAGAGCACTAGGAGTAGGAGGGCAGGAGAGTCAGGGGACTGGTCTCTCCCCTGCCCTAGGCCCCTGTCATGGAGCCTGATGGGAGCACTGCTCGCCAGAGCCCACCCTGCCAGCCAGAAGCTGGGCATAGAGGGCAGAGGTGTAGAGAACATGTGTGAGTCTTCTGTGCCCCACACCTCCTGGGCAGCCTCCATCCTGCATGCCGAGGGTTCTCTGGGTTGAGAATGGGCTGCATGAAGGTGTATCCTCACAGGGACCTGCTCTGCACACAGATGCATCCTCATGAAGACCTGCTCTGTGCCCAGACCAAACATGGGGGCATCCTTCATGCACAAAACCCTAAGCATAACTGTCTGTTTTTCTTCACCTGGAGGCCCAGCCTCAGATCCAAGCCCTCTGATGGGAATCAGTGAACATTGAGGGACCCCGGTTTTTCTCAGCCCGCCCACACCCTAGTTCCTCTGCACCCCACTTTGGAAACAGGATTCTTCCATCCCTCTTAGGCCAATGGCCTCTCACCTCTTGTTCTGCTGGTCCTGCTCAGAGCCTGGGAGGAAGAAGTTGTACCTAGAAGAGCCAGGAGGGTGTGACCTTTGAGCACTCATTGTCCTGGCCTCCCAGGAGGTCTAGGGGAGCATAAGACTGTGTGATGGCAAAAGAGGCTGGGAAGCCAGAGAGGTCCCTCTGCGCTGCTCCCCGAACGACAGAGAAGCCTCAGGAAAGGTGCCCATACACAGTAGGTGCTGTGTAGACATCTGTGCTGTGGGTGAGCCTAGCCAGTTGTGCCCACATATCAAGAGGGCACCTGGGTCCTGGGACTCCCTTAAAGGTCCCCGCTCTGTGTTCCTCTAGGCAGGAACAAAGGAAAATGGAAGTTCCATCTAAACAGTTCCTTCAAGGGGTAGATTGGGGAAACCCTACAGCTCCAGGACCCCATCTCCTACCCAGAGCCCGACCTAGGTTTACTGTTCTGGGGTCCTGCCTATTTGGTCTTGGATGCGCCTTATGAACAGGAGTCCTCTGAGTAAAGCATTTTTCTCAGGAATATTAGGGTGCAAAACGTTTCAGGGGGTTCATCCCCAAGAGCTCCCAAGGTTCCCCGGGCCCCCTGACTTGGAGGTGGGGCACACCTGGGGAACAGCAGATCCAGCACCTGCCGCGTGGTGGCGAACCTCCTGTAGATGGCCAGGAAGGCAGGCACGAAGAAGGGGTCCCCGCGCTGATGGGCAAGCACCAGGTTGAACACCAGCTTCTTCAGCATGTCTGGCTCCATGCTCCCCACCTTGCCAGCATCCTCCAGCTTTGGGCTGGACTTCCTTGGGTCCTGAGGTGGCAGCGCGAAGGGAGAGTTCAAGCTTGGGTACACTAGCAGCTCTAAAGAGCTCAGCCCCCAGGCTATCAGCTGCCAAACGCGTCCCCTGGTTTCACACTCACTCTCGCATGCTGCCCCACACACCACAGGGGCAGGCAGGGTTCTGGGCTCTCCCGGCTGACTCTGACCTGTTGGGGGCTCACCTGTGTCATCTTGGGGGTTCTTGGGTCAGTGTGCTCCAGGCTCTGGGCCTGACGACTGCCTGAGCCTCTCAGCCTTTGAATAACACCCTCTCTCCACCAACTCTTGTGGCCTGAGCCTTCGCATTTTGGGAAACAGCAAGAAAACATCCTCCTGGTTGTTGAGTCTCTCTACCAGTAAATGTAGCCAACCAGCCTTGAGAGTTCTAGGTTCTGTTAGGCAAGCATTGTCAAGGAAGTGAGGTCACTTCCTCATGTTCCCCTCCCCTACCTGCCTCTCCCATGTCCCCTCAAATGCTGGATGACCCTTCCCAACCTGCTAGGGTTTGAGTCTATTTTAGATCCGGCTTCAGGTTAGGGCAAGATTTAGGGTTGAGGTTGTCCTTGGGATTTGTGTATAATTTCAGTCAGTGTTGGTGTTGAGATTGGGGTTAGTGTTAAGTGTTGGGATTAGGAGTAAATTTTGGGGTAAGAGATTGCAAATGTGTTTGAGGTTTAGGTTTAGCATGAGTGTGAGTGGTAGGTCTAGGGATTAAAGGGAGCATAAGGGTTATGATGAGGACTAAGGTTAGGATGAGGTTTAGATTGTATTTCGGATTTAGGGTAAGGATTTAGAGTTAGATTCAGGGTTAATTGTAAGGTTAGTTTAATAATTAGTTTAGTGGTTTTCTTTCCCCATATGCTTAGAGTTAATATTACAGTTGGGTTTGTTAGAGTTAGTGTTAGTTTAGGTTTCAGGTTAAGTTAAGAATAATGATGAGGTTTAGCTTTATGCTTTAGGGACAAGGTCAAACTTTAGCTTTAGATTTAAGTTTAGGATTAGATTTATTGGTCAGTATAAGTGTCAAGATTAGCATATCAGGTAATCCTACCTATCATAGTGAATTTGACAGTGTCCTTTCTTTCCAATTCAAAAAGATCTTGGAAAAAGTTTGACATTGGATCTTGTAGAAGTCTACATGGATGCACCACCTTGAGCACCGAACAATCACAACATTAGTTAAATCAAGTCTTATTTCCACATACAGCTATGTACAGAGCTGGCAATGGTATTGCCTTCGTTCTTCAATTGCCTTTCAGCAGTGCAAATTAGGACAGCTGAACTGATGTGTAATCTTTGAAGTCTGTCTCACAGTGTCCTGCTCTCTCACATAGTGCTCTCTATAAAAGATCTGAGCACTACAGGATGGCAGAGCCACTCAGTTCCAGGAATGTCAATTGGGTGCTAGCCTCAAAGTAAGAGACTATGGGTCCCTGGGGTGTAAATGTTTATGTATCAGAAACTGAACCACCAGCCTCCTTAATTCATTCATATGCTATCCCCATTAAGTTATTCAGACTGATCTTTCTGCCTATCATCTTGCATATTGCAAAGGTGTTTTTTTAATCTACCCGTCTTCATAAGATAATAAGTTCTGGGAGAGGCCTTGAATCAAGGCCTTTCCAAATCCTCACTTGAGTTGGATTTAGGACCCTTTGACTGCCCTTATCTTTGCATATGTGTTGGTGTCATCACTCTTGCTGTGGTTTGCATTGGAAGTGGTTGATTGAACTAACTTGCCAGGATGCCAGTGTCTGAATAGGATTACAAATATAACTTTTTAGATTGAGAGGAAGCCTGGGAAGAGGATTACAATACTTGGATTACAATATTTGATATTGGGATTACATTAGGTTTTTACATGATTTACTGGTAAAATCCTTATTTAATCTCATTTTTATTGATACTCATTTTAAGATTTTAAATTTCCTTCTTTTACTAGTGTTGAATTAGGAGGGTGCTTGTGTTCAGAGCCTTAAATTGTATGTTATCTATTTGGATTATCTGTTTATTCAGTGTGAACCTTAACAGTTATGAAATTCTCTTTTTCAGTGGTATTCCTTGTGTCCCTTAAGCTTGGAATGTTGTGTTCCCATTGTCATTTGATTGTGGGAATTTTCAAGTTTTTTCCTTGACATTTTCTTGGACTACTTGATTATTCAAGAGTGCATCATTTAATCTTCATATATTGCTTCATATTTGTGGTTAACTGCGTTGTTAAATTCTGCTTTTATTCAAGTGTGATCCATTAACATGCAGGGTGTTTTTTTCAGTTTATTTGTGTTGATTTCACTGTGTTTTATGGTCAAAGATGTTTATACCAGAAACTTTCATGCACTTCTGAGAAAAATGTGTATTATACCTTTTGGTAAAACACTGTAGATATGTGTTAAGTCCTTGTGTTTCACGGCACCAGGGTGAACTGGCATTTTGTTGGGAGCTGTTGAAACTGAAAACTGAACACACCTGCAGGGCTGCCACATGGCCTGCTCAATCTGAGATTTAGAAAGGATTTAGAAAAGATCCTGAATGGAGAGACATTAATCTGTTCTTCAGCATAGAGATCGCATGGCAAATCATTTCTTTAAATTCCCACCACCTTTCCATATTGATGTATAAGAATCAAATTTCAACATGAGTTTTGATGGCGACAAATCACATCCAAAAAACATCTGTGTTCATAAGAGATGTTGATCCGTATTTGTTTTCTTTGTCATGACACTCCTGTCCTAATAGCATAAGGGTACTACTGTTCTCATGGAATACACTAAGAAATGGTTCCTCTCTTTCCTATTCTGGGGAGATTGTGTAAAACACTGATTTTAATCCTTCTTTAGATGTTTAATGAAAATTTCCAGTGCATTCTTCAGGACAAGTTTCTGACTATTAACGCAATGTCTATTAATGTAGATCTACTCAGACTTTGTGGTTCTTCTTGAGTCAGTTTTGGTAGTTTGCATTTTTCCAAAAATCTGCCTACTTTGTTTAAATTCTCTAATTTGCTGACTTATGCCCCAGTTTTTTCATATGAACACAGGTCTTAATTTGCACAATGATTTTGGATATCTTTCACATGCTTATTTGGCACCCACATATCCTCTTTAATGAAGATTCTATTCAAGTATTTTTTTACTTTCTATTTTTTTCTTCTATTTTTTTATTCTTGAATTAAGGAGTTTTGAAAATCCTTTTTTAGAATTTTAATACATAAACATTTTCTAGAAATTTGAGTTTTTTCTTTCTTTTCATGGTCTGTCGTGAGTGTCTTAGAGCACTCTGAACTCCGGGCAAGGTAAACACGCACACACGCCTGATCGGGACACAGGGGGTACAGTGCTCGGAAAAGAAAGACAGGAGAGACACCTTTACTGTCTGCACCGCGTTACACTGCACTGTACGCACAATCTTTATTTTAGGATTCATATATAGTAAACCCTATCAGTTCACAGAGCCCAGATAATTAAGTGGTGAAAAGGTATTCTTTGTGGCAAGCTACAACGTGACAGACTACAATGTTTATTCTAAAACTATCTAAGTGAAGTAAATAATCACAACCAGTTTTCATAACTTCTCTAGCCCAGGAAGAAATTCATTAGCTCAAGAATGTTGTTAATTTGTCTGCTGTTAGTGTCACAAAGGGTGGCCAGCCACTTCCTCAAGACTTCTGCAAAACAAAGCCAGCTCACAGTATGGATTCCAGAGGGTGAGGGGCTCACTGAGAACAGGCATTCCTATTCTACCTCCTTCTCGCATACCAGGGCGGCTATTGTAAATTGCAGGTTAGAGGGGGTTGGGCCTACAAAGTGACACCTCATCCCCCACACTTCCTTCCTTTTTATTTTTTAACAACAATTTCCATAAGATCAGGTTATTAATAGTATTTCGTCTTATGCAGTAAAAATACACAAGAACTATGGCAATGAGAACTATAATTAAACTAAGTCCCATGCCACTAAAAGTGTGGGTTATGCTCTGCCAGATTCCTTTGGAATCTAATCCTTTCAAAGATTGAGCAAGCAATTGCGCGAATTGTGCTAGGGATTCATCATCATTTTGCTTTGCAAAATCCTTGTCAATTTGATTATGCAAAGATTCTATTTCCTCCTGGGCAGAGGTGTTTCCATTTAGATACATTCTAATCATTTCCCATTCATGTTCTGTTTGATTATAAGGTCGTTGGGTTATACAGAAAGTAGTTGAATTCCAATCACATTTTAAAAACACTTGATGCTGAAGAGCCAATATTTTTCTACCCATCCATTCAACTGTTTGTTTAAGGAGGTCTATTTGTTGTTGTAGTCTGGCGTTTATTTGCCACTGAGTTAACCAAAGTTCATGAGAATTTTCATGCCATAATTCTACAACATGTTTTTCTTGCAAAGAGGTTTGTAAAGCTATTCCTGAGACTGCTGCTAGGGAGGCTACAGTTATCAGACTTAACAGTACAGCAACCACTATTCCAATAAATCTTTTTGTACGTTTTAACAGATGTTTAAAAAATTCAGTAGTAACAGAAATTACCGGGTCTTGAGACCATGGTCGAGTTAAATTTACAGGCAACCAAATATGAGTTTTTTGTTGTAACAGCATAACTGTATAAGGCTTAGTGAAATTTAGTGTGCTATTTAAGTATGTAAACAATTGACAATTTAAACAAGTAAAAGAAAAATGTGTAAAATTAAAAGTTCCCACTAAAAAGACATAAGGCAGAGGTGCACAAACAGTAATATTATACATTTTAAACCTAGTAAAATTATAAGTAGTAGATACAGATCGACTAGTCCCTGAATAGGAAACATTGTACAAGGTTACAGGTTGCATAGCGGCTGGAATCTTCCAAATATGATTTTGAAGGTGATGAGGGTATTCTTCGGCTGCAACAGCAGGGTTAGCGATTCCACCATCTCCCCACCACAAAAGAGCCGTCTTCTGATGAAATATAGGAGCTCCGTCAGTTATTTTCTTTGGATCTGGAAGACTATACACAACAGAGAGATTACATCTTGTCTCATTCCATTCAGCACATCCATTAACGAATTTTCCAAATGGTCCCCAAATAATATACCCATCAATATTTTTAGCAAATTTTCCCATACATAGTTGCCAAATTATGGGATAATAAGAAATATTTTTATAAGTGAATTCAGGGCATACAGGAAATGTATTTGTATCAGGTGCTGTTAAATTTCTCCAGGTAACATTAAAGGTTTGAGCAGCCAAGGCTTGAAGCCTTGTTCTTTTGTTGCCTGCTTTTATTCCATGTTGAATCCAATACTGCCATCCCAGAGGGATGCAAGGCGGTTCCCCAATGCAAATAGGCCTTTGATTACCATAATAAGTAAAATTGAATAATGTCCCATCATCTTGATTGTGGGGGGTTAAATCAGCCCACGGTGCTGACAAAATTTCTCTAGGTGTGGTATAAAGTAAAATATCACTAGTTCCCCATTTTACAGGTTCTAATAAAGGGGGATTTGGAATATATGCCCAGTACGAATGTGGAGGTACCTCAGTCCCCGACGCAACAGTGAGCAAGGCACATAAAGCTAAAAACAAGTTTTCAGGGTTTAAAGGCTTTCCTGCTTGAAGGACAAGCCGTTGCCCTTCTATGGTCAATTTCTTTAATTGTCCCCATGTAGGGAGGGGATTTAAATTTGGTCGCTGTGAGCGGCGGGAATTTCTTAGCTGTAATCTGGCCATGGCTGCGATAGGAACAAGCTCAGCATCTTCAGCCTCTAGCTGGTT